GGGGTGGATAGTATTCTTATAAGTGTATATTATACTCTATGTTTCACAACCGTAAACTATACTTAACATCGAAAACAATCATTTGCGATCGCAAAACATAGATTATCTGATAAATACAGTTTCACGATTTGTAAACTATAGTTTACAAACCGTTAACTATAGTTAACAATTTGATAAATATAGTTTCACGATTTGTGAAACTGTGATTAACAACTCTTAACTATAGTTTACGATTGTAAACTATAGTTTACAAACGTGAATCTATGTTTATCAACAAAATCTATTGTTAACGCTTTATTCAGACAGATAAACTTAGATTAGCATTCGTAAACTATAGTTAACGACCGTTAAATATAGTTTTACAGATGAAAACTATGCTTAACGAATCGTTAACTATACTTAACGAATGGTTAACTATAGATTACGGTTTGTAAACTACAGTTTACAGTCGATAAACCTAGTTTATCAATTGTGAAACTAGGTTTATCTCATTTTTGTGAATTTGGCGTGCCATACACGTGTTACTACAAATGCCGCATTGATTACATGTAATAGTCATTCAATATGATTGGCCAATATTATCGAGTTATTCAATATGATTGGCCAATGTTATCGAGTGTTGTTGGATTAGTACGCAAAGTAGGATTGGTTTCATTTAAATCAAACATCCAATCGATTTGTGAAATTTTACTACGGTTGATCAAACAAATTGACGCTCTTTTATTGGAATGATAGTAAATTACAGGACACTGGTGTATTTAGCTTTTCCTTTTTATCTTGAGGAAATTTGAATGATTATTTAAAATTTATTCATTATTACTAGATGTATAAGTTTGCATGAATTAATATAAAATTTAAATCTGAATGAATTACAATAAATACAACAAAGATTACCAAATGATAAAGGATTAAGATGAATCTGTATGTATTTTCATAAATATTCAAAAACTGTATTATTATGTACGGATTTGCACCTTAAATTTTAGGTTCAAATGCACAACTTATAGTTACATGTACATGTTACCATCATTTACGTGTTTACTGTCCGTGTAACACTTAACAATTTAAATTTCTAAAGTGATTTTGCGTATTATAATATTAATATATTAGTAAAAAAAAAAAAAATCATACTGATTTGATATATTGAAATTTGACACTAGTACATGTATTCCTCAAATTTCCAAACATGTTTTGAAATTTAATTGATTGTTATTTAGATTACTGTCTTAAAAACTAAATTTATGCATACAAAATTTAAATTTCCAAAAACTATCTTTATATTTTAAGCTTTCGAGTTTTTAATCCACCCTTTGTTCAGAAAGTGTACGTTTAACAATCTAAAATTCAATAACATTTTTCGTCTTTTGATGATTTAAAATTTACGTCGAACTCATAGTTTCAACTTTCAAACGTTTTGGATTTTTAGAAATTAAGAATTTCGGTTCAAACATTCAAATTTCAAACTACCAAAACACCTTTTAGTTTTCAGAATTTTACTTCAAATATCCAAAATATCAAATTTCCAAACTCGATTTGAATTTTTAATTTCAATATTTTAATTATCAAAGCTCTATTGCTTGACCAAGAGAGTTTTTGACATAGCTTCAAAATTCAAATTTTGGGTTTTTTGAAGTAAAATTCTAAAAACAATACAAAATGTTTTTAGTAACATTTATTTCAAAATTAAAAAAACTCAAAGATTTAAAATACCATAATCGTTTTTGGAAATTTGAATTTTGAAAATTTATTAAAGCAAAAATTTAAAACATTGAAATTTTTAAACTAATCTTGTTTGGAAACTTGAAAGTTTAGGTTTTGGAACTAAAATATAAAATTTCAATGCACGAAAACAAGTTGTTGTTTTTCTTAATTAAGAAATTTGGACTGTTATATTAAAATTATAAAACTCTGAATCATTTTAGAAATTTGACTTGTTAAATGTTCGACGCCGGACCAAAATAACATACACTGAGGGGAAAAAAATTGTCCGTATTTCGCATAAAATCCTTCATGTACTTATATTTCTATATTAATTGCATAAAACCCCCCTTTTACAAATAAAATTAAGCAAAATTTAATAGATTAACAGCTAGGCATTTGCATAAATTAACATTGAATTATTTTGAAATCCGTAAATATACATAAATAATAAAAGATTTAAATAAATCAGTACAAATTAGCTAAAATTTAATAAATTCAATAGCACACCTTTAAACCTTTCAAATTTCTTTATTTTGCAATGTTACACAAATTTGCAAAAAATTATATTGAACTAACATATATTTGCAAAAAATTGGGCGATTTGTATAAATAAAGTTTCATTTGCACATGCATCATTTGCATAAATTAGCGCAAAAATACCTTTATTTCGCAATTCTGCATAAAATTAGCTTCAATTGCATAAAGAACAAGGTACAGTTTCAACAAAAATTAAGCCCTATATTTTCCTAAAATACGGAAGTGATATAAAGAATCAAAATGCATTCTTTCTGAATCATAGGAATTCCCTGCAGTAAGAAAACACAAATCGCTTTTCTCATATGACCTCCTTAATGCTAATTGTGACGTCATCAACTTGTGCATTTTTCCGTATTTTGTTAAAAAGTTGCAGAATACATCAATTTTCAGTGGAATTTTCTTTCAGAAAACATACTCTGCCACCGTCGCCCAGAAAGATTTTGAGATATGTGATTTTTCATAGCATAAAACATAATATATTCAAAAATTAAAGTGGGCGACGGTGGCAGACACTATTTTCTAAAGGAAAATTAGCACAGAAATGAGTCATTTTGAGGCTTTTCTGCATTTAACTTAAAAAAAGTACCAAATTAATGACGTCATATTTCCAGAAAGGTCCTTCTCCTTGCCATATTCTTTATTGATTTATCATATTCATCAACTCAACTACTGTTAAAGCCAATTTCATAACTTTTTAAGAACATTAAATTTTTTGGGCGCAATAAAGCTCAAACCGTACTTTCTTCTTAGCATACGATTAGCTTCATTTTAGCACTTTGCATGAAATTAACTTCATTTGCAAAAATTAGCATAAAATTAGCTTAATTTTTGCATAGAATTAGCTTCATTTGCATAAATTACAGAAAAAAAATTATAACTTGGACCGATGGACACAAAATTGGTCGACCGACAAAAAAAAAAAAAAAGAGGTCAAAATCGAGCAAGACAACGGCCTATGAACTGCCGACTGTCACCCGAAGAATCCTATTTTTGCTTCAAAAACCGTCGGCCTTGGTCGTTTTTGGAAATGTGACTGGGGTTTTAATCGTACCACTGTTCAAGGAGTGGTGGCATTTTGCCATGGTATGCGTGGTAGACCTTGTCATATGTGCATTTTGACTGACACAGAAAATCGTTTTGCTTTGCAATTTTAGGCACTCTAAATAGCTTAATGGCCATAAATATGGTCAAGATATGCTTGCTCAAATTCAATTTCAGCCAGGGACCCCCCCTTTGAAGGCTCTAGGCCTACAGGCCCCCTTCTGAATTTCCTCAATTTTCCAAAAAAGATATCCCCCTAACCTAGATACACCTTGCCTTTATTTCTTTTCCTTATACTTTAAACAAGTTGCTGTCCTTTACAAAAAAGGACTACAATACGTGGACCACATGCATGTGTTTCTAACCGAAATTCAATTCAAGGCAATTTCTAGGTTTAGTGAATATTCATGTAGGTTCGTTCACATTTTCTATTATGATCTGCCTACTTTGACTGATAGCATAGCAAAAGTGTTAAATGTTATCTCCGATTCGCCTATATAGTTTTGTCGTTTTAAAAAAAATGGCCTATATTTATACATATAACCCATAATGGCTGGGACTTTACATCTGTTCTGGATTTATACGGAAGAAATCTATAATTGGAAAAATAGATCTAATGATACACGTGTAGCACGGCTCTGCAGTACGCAGATTTTTTTTTCCAGAGCCCCCACCCAGATAGCAAGCTGACGTTGGGCCGATGTTGGCATATGGTTGGTAGATCGGCTACATATCGCGGTTGGCAGAATGATATTGGGCCAACATCGGTCCGACATTGTCATTACAACAGTCGGTGTATTGACATCGTACCAACATCGGTCCGACATTGTAATTACAACAGTTGGTGCATTGGCATTGTACCAACATCGGTCCGACATTGTCATTACAACAGTTGGGGCACTAACATTGTTCCCTTTTCGGGCCAACATCAGGCACGTAGCATCGTTTTTGAAAAGGGGGGGGGGGGCAACCACAAAATTTTTTTTTACTTACCTGAAAAAGTTGACAAGCAAAAGGGCGGGAGGGGGGGTGGGGTAGTGGCCAACTTTTTTCAAGGCCAATTTCCTCTCACTTCCAATTTTTTGCTGTTTTTTCTTGATATCACTATACTGTGGTAAAAAGTGGGGGGGGGGCATCCTTTCAATGGACATTTTCTGTAGTAAAGGTAATGTTGGGGAAAAAGTTGGGGGTGGGGTCAGGCCCCCCTGCCCCCCTGTTGCTACGTGCCTGAACATTGTTATTTTTAATATTGAAGTATGGACATCTTTGCAATGTTGGCCCGACATTGTTGAACCAACTTATATGTTGAAACATTAAAAAATTATTTATTTATTTTATTTTTTATTTATTTGTTTATTTATTCATTTTTAATTATTTAATCCTTACGTAGATTTTCAAAACTATGGAAAATAACTTAGATTTTTCTCTAAAACTATCGACTAATAGTACAATTACATCGGGATCGAAGTCGGGCTCGATGAGCAATTAATTTAAACAACACACCGCGCCGAAATTTAAATTTTTGGGGTGTTCAACGCAGCCATGTTGATATTGTACAGAAGGAAAGTTCGGAAAAGTGTCGCGAAAAGGAGAATCATGACTAGCTTTGGATCGAATTTCTGTTTTGACAGAAGATGAAGACATTTTACGACTCGGTACTGCGGTAGGTACAATGTACAAAATATTTTTATAGTATAACATGTGTCCTTGAACACTTCCTTAGTCAGGACACTACACATAAAATGCCTGGCAGTAAAATCGTTTGAGCAAGCGCTATTTTAATTTTGTTATAATAATTTTACACTTCTATACATCTTTCATAAAGATGGATTTCAACCCGAGTTTCCTCGTTTGGGATCGAATTTTAGTGTTCCTCTCTTCAACATTTACAGAGTAAAGAGTTGTACAATGTAATAAAGTATATTTATTTTTAAATGCATGTGCAAGATCATTTTCAGCACTTATTTTGATTATTTAATAGTTGCATGCAGTGGACTGTGCCCGAGACGATTCCCACTGCGCCGGCGAATAGTCAGCTTGTAAAAATGGTGAGAACCAGCTCAAATTTTCATTTAACACAAATAACCTAACATTGTTTTTATTAACTTGTATCTTTTAGCATAAACTATAAAGATATTGCATCTACTATATACCAAGTAAACAAGAGGTTTATATTCCTTCTCCTAAAAATACATAACAGTTACAATGGATTCTGACAGGTAATCTAAACATGCTATAAATTGCACAGCTATGCATAATTATTTTACATAAATATTTAAGCATTAATTATTAAAAATAGCTATCATATTCTATGATGCACAATTATACATGCATTATTTACAGGAATCTGAATGCTCACAAGAAGGACAAAAGCAGTATGAAAATTAACACAAAGGTAAGATTTCTTAAATTTTCTGATTAGAGCAATAAAATCACATGAATTGAAATTACATTTCTACCCTATACTGAACTGTCAGGTTGAAATAAGCAATTGTCTACAGTCTTGTAGAGCCTTGCTTTATTATTTGTCATATATTTATGTTTATATATGCGAAAAATATCGATGATAATACATCCTAATGGTCATCTTTTGTTTCAGAAATTGTGCCAGAAAAGTTTGAAGTGTCTATGGGAATGATCAACAATGAACATTGAACTTTCTGAGCCTTTGTACTTAAAGTGAATCCGTTCGTGACATGACCAGTTATTTTGCTACCCTCTAACATAACGCCATCTTTTATTTATTTATTATTGTGAATTTCATGGGATATCAGTGAGGAAGTGATTCAAGCAAACACTTGAGAAATTTCGGATCTAACTTAATTAGGATCTTTGGCATATTCGGGGAAAATAGTATGTGTTGATTTATTGGATCTTTTTATTAATATAGTTGTGTAGTGGATATTTTGTACTTAATACATGTGTTTGTCACTCTAGTAAATGTAAATGTACATGGGCAACTGGAAGTTCATTGTAACTGTATACCCCGTTGAGGTTTCAATGACCTCTCCCAATGTCATTAGGTCAAATGCCATATTTTAAAAAAAGAAATAGTTTGTTTTATTACAAAGAAATGTCAATCAGTGAGAATACTTTGAAAAAATGTGCTTACATTGTACATCTATAAGTGTATATGTAATATTTGTTTCAAAACACATTGTAAAAGAAACTATTTTTTTTTAATTTTGAAAATATAGATTTGATCTATGATAAATTGTGATGTTATCATTATTTCAGTTTTCATTGTCACCCATTCTCAATATAAGGGCGCAAATAATGTCGCCTCGTTTTCATTTAGAAGAAATACCACTGATGTAATTTTTAAATCAACATTATAAATAGTCATATAACAATGAATAAGAATTCATATAATTATCGATCTGAAAGGGTATTTAAGGAATTCAAAATTCAAATATAGTAGCCTATTTGAAATGTACGTTACTGTCGCCGAGGCAAATATTATGCTGAATCCCCTCTGTGTAATATATAGTTTTGATTCTCAAGTAAAAATTTTCTGATAAGTTAAACCTTGTATCATATATACTTCTTTTCATAACAATAAATACATTGTGATAATAAATAATTTTTATTGTGCAATGTCCCTGTCGCTTAATTCTATTTTAACCACATTGCAAGCAAACACAAAGATTATACACCTGATAGTTTTGTTCTCCTTTATTTATTGATGGGCTAAATTTGAAATTTCAAAGGGTTAATTACTCCTTCATAGATAATGTAACATGAAATTGAACAATTTGAGCAACTTTTATAAATATGTTTACGGAATGAAAGACATTTTCAATCGTAGAGATAAGAAAGAAATGTACGTTACCTATATTCTTCCATTAAGAATATATATTAAGTAGAAAATATGAGACGACTCTGAATAAGCAACCCCTTGTATCCTGTAAACTGGCAAAGACGTTTTGCTTAACACCATTAAAAATTATTTTTTACATGAAAAGTGATCATTTGAAATGTACGTGACTGAAATGTACGTTACCATGAAATTCGAATTAGGTGAATCTCGCACGAATTTTCATGTATTCTCATACTTTCACACACTCGAATGTGTACACAAAGTAAAGTTTCAAAGGTTGGAGGTCGGCTAAATCCCAAAATTAATGAAAAGAAACCTTTCTGCTGAGGAAAAAAATATATTAAGGTCAATTATATGTAATATAATTTTGATACCTGGTATATATTTTTGAATACGAAACCTGTATGATGCATTTCTTATGATATGCAAGTTCAAATAGTATCAATATATTGCGTGTCTAACGTACGCTTGTGGAAGAGAATTGATTTTTATATTTGAAATGTACGTTACGAATGGTAACGTACATTTTGCGCATTTCTAACTGACATTTTTTTTATTATTTAGTCAATTAATTGCATTTACACGAGCGAAACAAAATTATCGTTACAATCCATTCGACAAATGACCACATAAATCCATCTAAATGCACCCCAATCCTCGTAAATGTGGTGGACTGTTACCACTTGCTAGAAAATTTATTTCTATGTGTCTTAAATTCATCTTTAGCAACCTTTTTGCAGTTTGTTTACTTTTAATATGCGACTTTTCGTCAATATAAATTTAATTGTTGTTGGTAATTTAAAACAAGGTATTCATAGGCTTATAATTGGTAAAAAAAAAAACCAAAACGAAACAAAAAGAAAAAGGAAAAAGAAACAAAACAAATGAATCCAGAACACAAGACGGTCCCGTACATTTCAAATACTGAAAGGCACACAATACTCAGTTTTGTTTGAATCATTGCATTTTAGGTTATATTTTTCCAGATCTGCTGAAAATTACGTATGTTTGTGTTTTGACAAACGATGTTGCAACATACTATTAAAATGAAATTGTTAACAAGACTGTCGATGGATATATTCGGAATAGATTTATGTTAAGTTTCAATGGCCAAACACAAGCATTTGTTAGATCATA